CCAAAGGGTTGTCCTATCTATATGTAATGAATTTCATTAGTATTACGATTACTTTAATACATTTATTTACTTTAATAGCGATAAATTCTTTATGGATGCAGCAGTGTAGGGTAAGGGCTATATATTCCTATCTATATTTTCAAGTGAAAACCATTGTCACTATACTGATTGACTTTTGGCTGATTTGGCTAAACTTTAAGGCATTAGGTTAAAATCTCATAACATTAACTACTGATCTACAATAGAGCCTCTATTACTTATTTTATCTGATCATTTGTAAAAGAGCATTTGTAGTTTTTTGACACAAAATATAACTTTTATCATTAACCTGTTTGCAGATCTAGACACAACCAACTTGCCTTTTTTGGTCCAGTCATTTAAGCTTATATTAAGTAAGAATCTCGGAATTCCAGACCCAGCAGTAAGCCTGTGAATACTTGTGTATTGACATCGTAAAGATGTCTAATATGATAGGGTGTTAATACCATATGTAGGCTTTGAGACAACTTTAGGGTATCAATATACAAGTATTCACAGACTTACGGCTGTGTATCTAAAATTCCGTAGTAGTTTAGTATTCTGTATATTGTTTTACTGGCGTTCTAAATCTGAAGATTATATTTCATTGTATACTATAATATTCAATTTCATTAAAATAGTTTAAGGCCCCAAAAGGTACTAAGAGTAGCGAATAAATTCTGTACTGAGTGTGATGCCGATTCTGCCGCACAACAGACCAACGTTATGGCAAGGCTATGTTATGAAAAACTTGTCATACTAAATATTGGCAAAAGCCATGTGGTTGCTGTGCAGTCAAGTGTTTTTCTCGGGTTGTCAGATAAAAAATCTATCCCAGAACGCGCACAAATATCAAAAAACGATTTTAGATAATAGGGTCTTTCTGACTCAGGTTCATAGCATAGAAGTGACGTTGCAGTTTATGTGTAAAACGCCTGAATGCACAGCAAATACATGATATTATGATAGTATGTATTCAATATGATTCAGTAGCATGATGTATGGAAGTTAATGTATGGAATAAAAATATTAATTAAAAATACATTTCCAGAACTTATTGATCGAATTTTAAGTATGTACGATATATGTTTTGATGTAGAATCATCGATTTAGATTCTGCATCACAAAATTTTATAATTTCATTTATTTATTTCACTTTAGGGATGGTAAAACGTGATAGAATAGCGTCCATTAATTACTTGGGGAAGGGAGGGGTATTGTAAGATATCACATGTATATATTTTTTACCTGATTTTTTTTTAAAAAAATCAATAATTTAAAAACAAAACCTCAAAATTTTTATTATTTTTTCTCGGTTGGAGGGGGGGGGTGATTTTGAATATCACCACGTATCAAAAAGAGAGGAGGGGTTCAAAAATCATTAATAGGTCAATCACGTGTAAGTAAATAGATAATAAAATATTAATGATCAAAACCTATTTTATTCAAGTCTATTCTAAGAGCATGGTTTAATCACTAATTCCAGGTTCGATACCTTCGACCGGCTTGATATCAAGCAATAGTGATATCAGATTTTTGAAAGTGTTGATGCAACATATATCTCCCCAGTATTAGACAAAAAAAAAACCTATAAAAATCTCATCAATCACTGGGTTGCATTACAATAACAGTAGGTTAAGGATTCATGAATCTTGAGGTGGACTTTACAACAGCTCATAAAACATATATAGTTCTGATTGCTATTTTTTACCAGAAACCAGAACTGTGTGTTTTGTAGAAATGCCTGCGAATGGCGATTCTCACTTGAGATCTATGAACTTAAGTTGATATTTGATATCATTCTGCCTGATATCGAGCTTAGCCGAAGTAGGGATCGAACCAAGGGCTAGTTTATGCCAGCCGATGTCCTTACCGGTTATACCAGGGCTGGACCTATGATTGCTGTTTAAACAAAAAATATTCAGAAAAATTGAGGCAATGAAGATTTGAATGAAAAAGTTATCTAAAGTTTTGCGATCTGTAAGTTGATTAAAGATTCATTTGTATCTGCAACTTGATAACTTATTTTATGAAAAATCTCATTAATTTTATTTTCAATTTAATGAATAAATTTGTTGTTTACATTGTACTTGCTAGGAATCTTCACAAATCGTAATTCAGAGAAAAACCCAACTATTTAAAGCTGTGAACTTGACTGGTGACGCCAAGATAATAAGCAAATTATTAATGTATATATATATATATATATATATATGTGTGAATTATAATACAGTAGAACCCCGTTAATACGATTATGCTCCGAAGGTTCTACCGCGTAATTCGCCACAATATACCGGTTCCTGCACTTTCAAATATCCTTATCCGGATGATACGATTTCTCGCTTAAAACACGTTTTTATCAGTTTCCTGAAAATTGCCTCAAACAGGTTTTACTATATAAATAATATTCTCTTTATTATTGCTATACAATCTACAAGGCTATTGACAAAGAAACATTTTCTTATAATTTGGATAAAGCATGGATAGAGCTATAATATTTAATATTTGTTAAATATATATATATATATATATATATATATATATAATGTTTCAGGTTATATTTATTGTTTTTTGGCAAGAGTTGAACTCACTGACCTTCATATTTGTTCAATTCAGTTGCTGTAACAACTAATACAGTCCACACCAGTATGAACAAAACATAATTAATTATAAACATTTCACTTCAATTAACTATAATTTATTTATTATTGAACAAAATCCAGTATTCACAATTTTAACCATTTATGAATGTTCACAATCGGAAAATAATAATCCAGAAATATTTATTTATTTATATGGAGCTACAATTTGACCTTATATGACTCGCGTGTGGAAGTTGTAATGTGAAAAAAATCTTTAAATCGTCTCCGTTTGTCACAGGGATATGAAACATTGTAATTTTTGAATAAAAAATTGTATAATTTAGTTTTTAATATGAATTTTTGAAATTTTGGTTTATTAGCTGAGGTTATTAATAAAATGTTATTTGGTATTAATTTATTAAATATTAAATGATATTAATAGATACTATTATTACTTGTAAATTTAAATCATTGCTACTTAAATATTTGAACTAATTAAAAATACAACATTTTTGTATATAAATTGTTACACAACTTTACGTTAAAACTTGTTAAACCTTTTTTACTTGAAAATTAATTTAGTTTCAATTAATAACTTTATTTTATTTTAGTATTTATTATACATACATATATATATATATATATATATATATATATATAAATAGTTTTATATAAACCCTTGTAAAAGCTTGTATGTGGGTGATAAAAAGAACCAACTGGACCCTTACCCTGGAAAAGTTGTAAACAATAAAAAACGGTATATAAAAAAGAAAATTAAGTTAAATAAAATTAATTTAACAAGAGATGAATTAAAAAATAGTTATTCCAACTCTGCTGATAAATATTTTTGATAAAATACCAGATCAAGGTTATTTACAGTGTTACCTCTGTAAAAAATGTACTCATGAATTATATATTTTGTATTGGTTGAATAAGGTAGTTATGTTTTTGTAAAACCCCTTAAAAATTAACATTGAGACATTGACCCTGTATGCTGTCTAATTTTACCACGCCTATGGGGTAAAAAGGACCAGGTGGCTTTTTTGGAAAACAACAGAAAAACATATATACATATATAATTTCTACAATGATGATTTAACTGATCATAGTCAGATAGTTGTTTGTTTGATATGTGTTATTTGTTGTGATATAATAATTATATCATATATAGTTTTTACTTTTCAATAATTAGATAATTTGACTTTGAGCAAATATATTGTGGAGACCAAACCTATCAATTAATTGATGAATCAATAAATTGATCAATTTTTAACATTTTTAACATTAACATTAACATTAACATCAATAATAAATTTGTTATACTTTCATATATTAGTTGTTGTATTTGTTATATTTTTATTTTCTATAATTTGCACATAATTTGAATTAATCAAATGAAGACTTGAAACGTATGCAAGATATATTTTCCAATATTCAGACTTTCTTTCTTTTTTATTTCTGTGGAATAGTAATATGGTTTATATGATATAGAATAAATAATAATTTATTAAATTATCAAGAGTAATTACCATCGTATCTGCCCTACCAATAAAATGGAGCCTCCAGACAATGGGGGCCCCTAACTTTTGCAAACAAAAATTAAGACAGTCTTTCAAATTTTTCATATAGGTTCAAATTTTTCAAAAGTCGTTTATACTTCTTTATCTTTGGTTATCGTCAGCTTTAAATAATTTTATAAATCAGTTTGCAAAAAAGGCTATAATATATAGTGTATATTTATAATTTTAATCGTTTGTAAAATGTCATAGATAGCTAATTATGATAGACTCACCTTTTGTAAAATAATATTGTTATCATTGAAATACTTACAGTAAATGTATTAATCTAATAGATAAACCATCAATGTACAAAAGTCTCAACATTTTGTTTTTTCACATTACAAACTTTTCGACTTGAATTTAAAACTTTGCTACTTGCGTTGTAGCTTACGAATATTGGAATATATTTTCGCGTTTATATTTTAATCCCTCTATTTATAAAAAAAACAAACTATCGTTGCAAAACATACAATATTTAAAATTATTATTTTATTTAAAGATAACTGTCAACTGTCAAATATCGTCATGTGCATAACTGCCAACTGCTTAGTCTCATTTAATAAGAGATTTTCGTTTGTGGCAACCCTATAATAATAATAATATGGTGGCAACATTGTCTGGCACAAATGTCAGTTTTCAAATAATAAAAGTGAATGTTCTGAAAAGAAAGAATCAAAATAAATTTGTGTAAAAGAAGAAAAAGGAAAACAAAGTAGATTTTTCTTGAATAATATTCAATAAGCATGACTATGTTTGATGTACACATTCATTATTTCAAATATAAATTTATGTCAAAATTGCTATAGTATATGAAAATAATTAATACATTATATATGTTTTAAGCAGGTTCAATTGTTTTAAACATGAATACAAATGAACTTTCGGATATAGAATCAACCAAACCATTTGGACCTTTAAATATATCAGAATATTTAAAGTCAATCACACTAGACAATGATGACAAATGCTCATGCATCTTATGTGATATGATATTTACCCTTCCCTTGGAGCAAACTGCTATGTTAACTCATTTCTATGTTAGTCATCGTCTAGTTATTTCTGATGTACACTTGATACCTGATTTAAAAGCATATATTGAATTTTGGAGGAAGGAATTTAAAGGTTATGAACTGTCTGAATATTGCACAACCATGCTTCTGGACCAAAAACCAGACGGCTCTTATTCAAAGAATGAGAAATATTATCTCTTAAGCGAAGTTCTTCCCAAAGATTATGAATTAAGAGTCAAACTACAAAAAATAAAGTACCAGGAAGTACTAGATTTATATCAAATGGAGCGAACAGCTTTAGATTTCAGTAAAGAATGCCTTTTTTGCAGAGAAGTTATTACTGGCACTCGAATATCATTTATAATGCATCTATTTGATAAGCATAATTTATTTCTGGGAAAATATAGCAATTTAGTTTACATAGAAGATATGATTAATTTATTGCAAAAGAAAATAGAACAATTTATTTGTATATACTGTGATAAAGTTTTCAAAGATCGTGTTACTTTAAAAGAACACATGAGAAAAAAATTTCATAAACAAGTCAATCCAAAAAATAAAGAATATGATAAGTTTTATCTAGTTAATTATAATTATTTCCAAAAGCAGAAGGATTCTAAAAGTGAACCAAAGGAAGTTCCAAATGATGATAATGTAGACAAATCAGACACTGAACAAATTGATAGCGATCCTGAATGGTGTGATTGGGACGGGTCTTTGCCAAATATTTTATGTTTATTTTGCAAATTTACTTCACCGGATTTTTGCAAATTATCTGAACATATGATTGAAACCCATAATTTTCATTTTGAGAATGTGGTTTCTGAACTAGATTTTTATAAAAAAGTAAAAGTTGTTAATTATATAAGAAGAAAGATATACTCCAATGAATGTATTTTATGTGAGAAGAAATGCGAAGATGAAGGACAATTACAAAACCATATTATTCAAGAAAATCACATTGGAATTCCAGATAAAAAACTCTGGGATCAACCTGAATATTTTTTTCCAACATTTGATGATGATAACTTCTTGTGTTATTTAGATGATATTAATGATGATACGGAAGAAAAATCTGTTAAAGAGAATTAAATAAGTTGAATAAAATTGTTATCCATAAATATCAATAGTCGTTTTGAATTAACTGAAATTATAAAATTCCTGTGATATAATGATAAAAACAAATATCATTGATTTAAAAGAAATTCAGAGTTACCTAAATAAATATATCATTTTATCAAAGCAATTATTCTGATAAAAGTATATACATTATTTATTAGATAAGATAAAATGTTGATACAATATTGTATTTATTTACAAGTATGTACTTGTAAATAAATAATCATTGTATGAATATACTTTGTTATATCAGATTTAATATTTTATTTAATATGTTATACTTTGAATTACATAAAAGCTGTTTAAAACAGTTTTAGTATTTTAATCATATAAAGTTTTTTGTTTAATCAATTTTTCAATACTTTTACTTTTTGAAATTTATAGTTAATTTTATTTATTCAATAAGTTAAATTTAATAAATTATTAATGCAACAGGTTTAGTAATTAATACTTTGGAATATCTTAATGTATAATGATTGAAATTAAAATTGCCAATACATTATTATCAAAAAATGATTTTTTCTTTTGAGGGTCGTTGAACCTAAAATAATATAATAAAAAAAGTAATAAATTTATTTATTGTGTATAATTTTATTATTTTTTTCATTTATGGGAATGCATAGTGTAATGCCAAAGGCGGTCCATTAGTATATTCCATGAATCGGTCATGTGTCAAAAATGCAGTTTCTGGATCGACGTAAACAAAAAATTTGTTTGTTTTTTGATAAAATGATTAAACTGAAATTATTGACCAATTTCGTTTGTTTTCCCACATTTTGTTATCATGTGATATGAGCTAGTTTATTTTCTGATTGGTGGACTCAGAGAGGAAAATATCTTTTTATAAATTTTGTAGGTCAAATGTCACTATACGTAAAAATTTGTGTGCATGCAGTTCTATGAAATTATAAATCATATTTAACTCAATTCATTTATTTCAGTACGATGATTTTTTCGCGTAGAAAATGTTAGTGTATTCGCTGAATAAACGAAAAAACTGTAGTAGTGAATTGTTTAAGAAGATACTAACGTAACCTAACCTAATTGTTTTCTGGAACTCATTCGGACAAACAGGTACTTGCACAACATACAGGTAGATAACAGATTTACAAACAAATATTTATATTTACATCACTCTATTTCTATAGTTGATTAGTTTGAAGTTCTAATTATTGCAAATAATTGCATTTTGCATTTATAACAGAGATAATAAGGATTTATTATATTTTCAAAATTATACTATTACAGTTTGTACCCAATAGGCAAAAATGCATAGTGTTTGACAGTTAATTTATTTACCTAATATACTCCTTATATCAGAATTCAAATAAAAACTCAAATAAAAAAAATAAATGAACTGTTATTCATTTTGATCTCATTGTGATCTGCTGATTTATTCCTTTTATTTGAATTTTGACACATATAGCACGAAGAATAAAAAAATTAAGGTAGGAAACCTTTTAATTTTGTATATATTAATGTAAGTTTAGGACGCAAACATAAATAAATCGAATACCTTTGTTCTAAGTATTGCAAACTTAGAATAACACTTGTCGATTAAATTTTTTTGTTATGAGTGGAAGGAAATTTTATTTAATAAGGAGATCACAATGTGTAACAAAAAACTGCTGATTGCCGAGTTACAAAGATTGTATTTTAAAAGGAGTTTTAAATTACACAATTAGCATAAGCATATTGGTATCTAAAAGACCATCAAGGTAAGAGATAATAAAACATTTATTATATTTTCAAAATTTCACTATTACAGTTTGTACCCAATAGCCAAAAATGCATAGTGTTTGACAGTTAATTTATTTACTTAATATACTCCTTGTATCAGAATTCACATAAAAACTCATTTTAAAATATATGTTAAAATAATTACAAAATACAACCCAGCAGTCTGTTATTCATTTTGATCTCATTGTGATCTGTTGATTTATTCCTTTTATTTGAATTTTGACACATATAGCACGAAGAAAAAAAAATTAAGGTAAGAAACCTTTCAATTTTGTATAAATTAATGTAAGTTCAGTAAGCAAACATAAATAAATCGATTACCTTTGTTCTAAGTATTGCATACTTAGAATAACACTTGTCGATTACATTTTTTTGTTATGAGTGGAAGGGAATTTAATTTAAAATAATATCACAAATAAGGAGATCACAGTAACAAAAAACTGCTGATTACCAAGTTACAAAAATTGTATTTTGAAAGGAGTTTTAAATTACATAATTAGCATAAGCATATTGGCATTTAATAGACCATCAAGATAAGAGGTGATAAAGGAGATAATAAAGGATTTATTATATTTTCAAAATTACACTATTACAGTTTGTACCTAATAGGCAAAAATGCATAGTGTTTGATGGTTCATTTATCTACTTCATGTACTCCTTGTATCAGATTTCAAATAAAAACTCATGTCAAAATATACACTAATATAATTACAAAATACAACCCAGCAGCCAGTTATTCATTTTAATCTCATAATGATCTGTTGATTTTATTCATCATTTTAAAATAAATTCTATTCCATCTATTACAATTTTGACACAAGCAGCACGAAAAGTAAATAAATTAAGGTAAGAGACTTTTCAAATTTGTATAAATAATGTAAATTCAGTACGGAAACATAAATAAATTGAATACCTTTGTTCTTGTGTGTTATTGCATACTTAGAATATCACTTGTCGATTAAATTTTTTTGTTATGAATGGAGAGTATTTAATTCAAAGTAATATCACTCACAATGAGTAACAAAAAACTGCTGATTACCGAGTTACAGAGATTGTATTTTAAAAGGAGTTTTAAATTCCACAATTAGCATAAGTAATCTAATCAGACCATCGAGGTAAGAGATCTTTCAAATTTGTACTAATTCATATAGTTTATTAATCAAAACATAAATAGATCAAATACCTTTTTTATAAGTATATATTTAATGCATTCTTAGAATAACTCATACTGATTAAATTTGTTGTAATGAGTCAAAGAGAATTTAATTCAAAGTAATATCACATCTAAATTGACAAATAATGAGAACACAATGAATAACAGAAATCTACTGAGTTTGGTACTGACAAAGATTGTATTTTAAAAGGTGTTTTAATTTAAATTTTGACACAAATAGCATATAAAGTAATTGAATAAGCTATCAAGGTAAGATGTTTTTCAAATTTATACAAATTAATATACATAGTTTAATATACATTACAATAACATAATAAATAGGTTGAATAACGTTTCATGATTAAATTTGTTGTAATGAGTCAATGAGAATTTAATTCAAAGAATATCACTGTTAAAATCGAGATAACAATGAATAACTGAAAGATATTGATGTTAGCAGTATTAACAACAGTTAATTATAACCGTTATGTAAAATAATATTTTACAATTTTACACTGACGGCCATATCAGATTATATTAAGAGAAAGTTTCTTTAATTTCAGCTTGAAAACAGTATCAAAATGAAAGTGGTAGCGTTGATTAGTGGTGGCAAGGACAGTTGCTATAATATGATGCAGTGCATTGCATCAGGACACGAGATAGTTGCTTTAGCTAATTTGGAACCGAAAGAAAAAGGTAAAGATTATTTTTGAAATCAAGTCAACTAAATTATCTATTTTAAATTTCATTAATTTTTTGCATAATTTGTGAATTGATTGAATCTTTAATTTCAATCCTAATCTTTCATAGCTTTTATTAGTTTTATGCTTTTTGTTAAAAATAACTTATTTTTTTAAAAGCAAGTACTTAGTCTAGATGACTAACAATAAGTGGTCAAGATAATTTAACAATTGTATAATAGGTAATTATCTAAAAATAATAATAAATGGTTCTATGCTCGAAGGCAGGCTAATGATGTAAGACAGTTGCTAGAAAATGATGTAGTAATAATAATTATAATAATAATAACAATAATAATATATAATGAATAACAATATTTGATTAATAATAGTGTATAATGAAATAATAATAATATGAATCTATTCATAATTTTTTATAATTAATTGATCACAATCATTTATAATTAATTGTAGATAGAAAAAAATGTATTACAAAAATTATAAATTAATTAAAATTAAGAGGTATTTTGTATTGATATCTAAGGAATATTAAGTAAAAGTTTACTAGATTGTATTTATCAAATTTATACATTTTGTATTTTAATTATTTCTGGGATTAATATAATATAAAATGCTTTTATTGGTATACATCATAGTTAAGGATAAATTTTATTAATAACATTATCAACGTTTAAAATATTTTATTGTAATTACATAGTATTGATAGGTGATCCATATTATGTGAATTTTATTGATCAAATCGTTACTTTTTCATCTTACTCTTGCATACTAATGTTTTACATATTTTTGTTTTAATTTTCTGGAAATAATATAATATCAAGTCGCGTTTTAAATGATATATCATTTATTTTTAAACAGGAGCACAAATACATTTATTTTAAACAAAATCATTTATACATACTAGTATGTACTACATTTAGCTAAATGCTTTTTTCGTCATAATTTCTTATATCAAAATTAAATAGAAAATATTTATTTTTATTCAATATATCTAATTTATATCAGTCCAAGAATTTATACGTAAAACATTTCGAAAATGCATTTGAATCAATTGAGTCCATGTGAGAAGGTAACATATGTTGTTAGACTATGATATCATGCCATCAAGTTTTGAACAAATTTTATATAGCACTTTGGAGAGTTTGTAATATTTTAGTATCAGTTGCCTTAAAATTTCAGTATTAAATTTCTACATATACTTTTTTCTCTCACAGATGAGCTGGATAGCTTCATGTACCAAACTGTGGGGCATACTGGTGTACCTTACATTGCCCAGGCTATGGAATTGCCCCTGTTCCGGAAGCTAACTGATGGATTATCAAAGCAACGTGGAAAATTTTACGAACCTACTGATAATGATGAAGTTGAAGACTTGTATCAACTCCTAAGCAGTGTTAAGGTATGTTAATAGTAGACTATCATACTAGTCTGTTGCGTCGAAAAGAGAATAATAATCTAAGAGAGAAGTTATGTTTTTGCTAGAAAATCCATTTAGTTCATTTTATGATATCTCGGTGTTACAAGTCAGTCTGATCTGAATCGTTTGATACCAAAATTGGAAAATGTCTATGTGTGTATGTGAACTAAAATTTGACTTTTTTTTGACGTTTTTCCAGGAACAGCAGCACCAATGTCAAATATTTAAAAGCTATTTTATGAAACTCGAAATTAATTAATATATTATTTATCATCTTAACGAATTAATCAGTAAGATATAGATATATCGATTTATTTATTTTTTTAAACACCCATAAAATAGCTCTAAGAGGACTTAAAAATACAATAAATTGTTTTATATAATAATTATTAAACATAAAATATAGATAAAATACAACATAGCAAAATACATAATGGACTTAAGAACACAACATAGCATAATACAGAATGTAACAATTTAACTCAATAACATAGAATAGAATAAGATAAAATAATAAAACATATTTGAAAAGAAATATAAAGGTTAACTGGAGAGATTATTTGAGGTAGTGTGGTGTTATGAATATCAACAACATTATTAATTAAGTTAAAGTTAGAGGTCATAAGTAGTATAGGCAAATAAGGGAGAATTAGATTTAGGAATATGACATTAAATTTAGGATTAGGATATAAATAACCAAGTTGCTGTGCGGCTTATAATGTCGGAGACTGTGGAAGATAAAACTTTTGTGATAATTCACGAATTTGCCAATTATTTAAGACAAATAGTTTAAGTATACTTAAACTTATTTTAAATAAGCATTCGTCTATTGCATATTCAGTGTATTTTTCAAAGGCGCCAAACAGGAAGCTCATGCAACATTACATGTAATACTACACCAAGTTTTAAATGTAATTTATGTAAAATATAAGTTTTTTTATTTTTGAAACCAATAACCTTTATTAAAATATTCTCATTATTATTTATAAAAATATGTTTTTAATCACCTACTTCATTTTGTTTTCAGGAACAAATAGAATTTGAAGCTGTAGCTGTTGGTGCAATATTATCAGACTATCAAAGGGTGCGTGTTGAAAATGTGTAAGTTCAAATATATATTATTTTGATTTATGATTAATCAAATATTAAATTATTTTTACCTTACGCAATAAGAATATTAACATGCAAATATTTGTATATACTCAAATTTTCTTATAGTTGTAGTCGTTTGAATCTAGTCTCATTGTGTTACCTGTGGAGAAGAGATCAGCATGAATTGCTTCAAGAGATGATTGATTGCGATGTCAAAGCTGTTATTATTAAAGTTAGTAATAATTGATTAAATACAATTTTGAGGAATTTGAGTTATATTTGTAATCTACTTTTATAGGTAGCTGCTTTGGGTCTTGATCCAGCTCGACATCTTGGCCGATCTTTGATCGAGATGCAACAGCATCTTAGTTTAGCGTCTGAAAGATATGGATTGAATGTTTGTGGAGAAGGTGGAGAATTTGAAACTTTTACACTTGATTGCCCGTTGTTCAAACGGCGGATAAACATGTAAGATATTACTTATATTTAATAGTCTCCATGCAAATTTGGTAGATTAATGTTTGAAAAACAATATTATTAAAAATATTAATATAATTTTAATTTGCTATTAAGAAAGGGTAGCAATATAGGCAACAGTGTAATTGCTCAGCTGAATAGTAGTTGAAATAAGATGGAATAGGAATTTATTTTTGTGCATTAGCTTAATAAATTGATGGCACTTACTTCTTGTTGAATAACATTTCTGTATTATATATATAGATTTTTTTTTTAATTCTTATTACATAGGTATTACATATATAGAAGTAAACAGCATTTTATGTAATTTACAACTTGTCCTAAAACATATTGAATGTTTGACATTTTCAATAGTAATCAGTTTTTTTTATTCTTTAAATTATTGTAATGGCTTTGTACTTGTACAAGTATTTTGAACATTCTATTATGAAAATTTTATTGAGCCATGTAATTTATGCTTTTTAATGTTAAAATTTATTATTGAAAAACATTGAATTAATGTAATTTAATTATTATTACACAAAAGATTACTTTTAAATTCTTCATGCAGATGTTTCTAGTCATTTTTCTTTTTATATATTATTATGAAAAACTTATGGAGCCATATAATTTATGTCTTTAAAATTTATTATTTAAAAACATTGAATTAATGTAATTTAATTATTATTACACAAAAGATTACTTTTAAATTCTTCATGCAGATGTTTTTAGTCATTTTTCTTTTTATATATTATTATGAAAAACTTATGGAGTCATATAATTTATGCCTTTAAAATTTATTATTTAAAAACATTGAATTAATGTAATTTAATCAATTTTACATTCAACATTACTTTTCAACAATCTTTTGAGACCTAAATTGGAAAAAGTATGTGTGTGAGTATGTATGTATGTATATAAGTCGATTTTTACCTTTCGACGAAATTTTCTCAAAAATGGTCAATCAAATTTAAAAGCCATTCGACATAACTCGGCAATGACTCGCGTTTATCAGGTTTGCGCGACAATCGGTCAAGCCGTTTTTTGCCAAAAAGTGCAAAATCTTTTGTCCACTTTTTAGTCAAAAATCTTGAATCGATTTTGAAAATTTAAAATTATTCGAAAGATATCATTTGAAAAACGTGCTGATTACTTTTTGACAAAGATCGGTCAGATCGGAAGAGCTTGAACTGCTAGTAATAATGTATAGATAGTTGTCCCGTCATTTGTTGTTTGTTGTTTGGGCTATGAGAGCTAATTTGTTTTGACATAAAGTAATCATATTTAATTTTTTTTTTAAATCAAAAATACTGTTTTGTGGAATTGATTCTGATATATATTGATGCAAGTAGAATCATGCAGGTAACATAGCAATACCATCATATTTATTTCATCCGAGAATTGGCCTCAATCTGGCATTTTCCAACTTTTACTAAAGTAAATCTCTTAGTTTTTAATAATCTGTATTATTAGTTGATTCTTACCTTCTTAGTTGATTGTTAATTAACTTGTTAGTTTTTTTCCCATGATTTTAATAAATCAAAGATATGATGATAGTGTGCCTAATCTTAATGAACGTACCAAAATATTCGTTAAATCATAAAAATTAATTATTTAATTAGATGCATATTTGTTATTAATAATGTGTAATAAAAATATTTGTACAAAATTGAATAATTTATAACATTATGTGTACCATACAGCAACACACTATACTTATAAATCACTCATAAATTAATATATTGATTTCTTATTGATTAAATCGATTATTTACACATGTCGCGAAGTTTATGCATCTTACTTTAAGGCAAAATGCCACCTACAACTAGTTATTTAATTGTTTCATTTTTATTTTTTGTAGTGATGAATCAGAAACAGTGATACACTCCAATGATCCAATAGCTCCAGTTGGCTACATGAACCTAACAAAACTGAGTCTAGTCGATAAAACAATCAATAAAACATGTAATGTGAAAAATTCTTTAGATTTTATAAACGATTTGAATTTATCGTCGTATAGTGATTTAAGTGATCCTGATTTGAGCGAATCTGAATTGGAATTAATTGAGAAACAGCAATGCGCTATTGATAGAGATAAGTCCAATAAAAACAAACAGATTTGTGATTCTGAAGATTGTTACCCAGTGCGAAATATAGAAATGCGTGATGTTTCTACAGACTGTTCAGGTATTCTTCCAAGTACAAGCCAAGTTCAAAATGTTAGTACAAATACAGAAGAGTTGAAAGACTATACCAGTGAATCATCACATATACAACAATCTTGTAGCAGGCATTCTAATAATAAAATTGATATTGAAACCCAAACATACAACCAAGAAGTCGAAACAAGGACAGCTGGGGCTCAAACAGTTGATATAATGGACTCAAAAGATGTTCAGTCAAGAACCAGTGATACTCAAACAGACAACACTGCCTTAAACAATAAACCGAATTTAAGGTTGCCTTCTATCCCGAGTCTTATAGAGACACCTATAATAGATATGACACTGCACAATACTACTTCTCCCCATCTACCAGGGAAAGAGGATAAGTTTTTTCCAAGCAAAGATTCGAAACTTCTTCGTACTCCATCTGAGAAGAAACGAGCTAATGAGCTGTTACTGCAAGATTTAGATAAATGGAAAGTAATGCATGAAAAGAAAGATATAATCTTGGAACCCAAGTTAATGTTTGACGAAGAATCAGGTTGGGGGTTTTTGAGTGCTCTTTATGGTTATGCTGATAACGCAGAAGATGCCATGGAGATAGTCGTCCAAAAAGCTTTAGGTAATTTTTTGTTTATGTAAAAGTAAAGTTCTTTTAAACCATTTGCAATGAAAATATTTTTATGTCAGTAACTTTATTCACTTGAGAATCAATTATTTGAAACAAACTTATGATAAAGGTTTTATTTTGATGCTATCATGTGCAAATAATTCATAGTTTGCTTTTAAATATTTATCAAAATCAATTTGATCTCCCAGTTGGGTAGTTCCGATATTTGGTTATTGAATAGCTGAAATGACTTCTTTTACAATTTTTCAACAACTTTCTGCAATTTTTTTTTTCAGAATTAATGCAGTCATCAAAGCTAGCTCCATCAGATCTGAGTTCAGTCAATCTTTATGTACGAGATCTGTCTGAATTTTCAACAATTAATCGCGTATACAGCAAGTTATTGCCCGAATTAAATCCTCCAAGCAGGGCTTGTGTCGAGATGCCTTTACCAGAGAGATGTCATATTGTAATGGAAATGGTATTCTACAAATGCCCAAATAATGGAGCGCATAATGGTGGTGAGTTAGAAAAATTCATACTTAATATAGATATGCTGGAATAATATATATATAATAATAATTTAATCTTTCATGTATATATATATATATATATATATATATATATATATAATAATAGAATCTTTCAAGTTTTATATATATATATATATATATATATATATATATATTAGGGTAGCCCTTATATGAATATTTTCGATTTTTTTTGCTCCCAGGGCTTCAAATGCTTTGAAAACGATAAAAAATTCTCTGAATGATTTATTTCTTAATATTACCTTTAAGATAGTCCGCATTCCAACCAAGTTTATTAAAAAACATTTTAGATTATCGGTTTTCTAATAGAATTATTTTCAGAATACCGAGAATTTTTATTAAAAAAAAATTTACCTGAATATGCAGTCTGAACAAAAAAAAATTGGTGACTAAAATTATTTACTGTTCAATTTTATTGATAGATTTATGCACTTTAGTAGGACAAAAGAAATAATGTTGGACCATGATTAAATATTTTTAAAAACAATTATTTACTGTTTAATCATATTTTTTACATATAAGGATGTGAATATTTAGTTTGAGAATAGTTCGAAAATTGAAATTAAAAATATCGAATGAAATAAAATTTGAAATTGATATATATTGGTTAAAATATCCAACAAATATTAATGAATAATGAAAATAACACTATGCATATTTCTAAAGAATTTTATAATTTATTTAATATATTGAAAACTTAATTAAGTGAATATAAACTAAAATACTTTTGATGATATATAATTATAATGATAAAATAGACCTAAATGAAAAAAACATCAAACTAAAACATAAAACTAAAATCTAATTTGTTATTTTGCTGTTAGCTGCATTTCTTGTAAACCTATCTTGTGCATGACGAAGCCATCCTCTAATATATTCCTCCACTTGAGCCTCCGACACAAAAAGATAGTTTTCGAAGACTGATTCAGAGACAATCTCTGAAATCATTGTTGGTTTTAGTATTAAAAATTTTTGATTAGTTCAATTAGTAATTATCCAATATATTCATTATTACCTTGGATTAATTTCACAAACTGCAGCGTCGAAAATTTCTTTTTTCCTTTGGTCCCAGCCCAGCTGTATTCCTTGGCAAACTCATCAGAAAATATTCTTTTTAGCAATGACACCGTTGCAATCCTCGGACAATGCCCGCCAATTCGTCCAAGCCTCGTTTTCTAATACAATAAGAGCATATCATATAGATAAATTCATAATATATTATGTTGTAATATGCACCAATATAATATTTACCATATTCTTCCTTTCGTGTGGAACTCTAAGAAATATCTCAAAATCAGCCATCGTTTCTTCAGTTTTCACAGGCAATAATCTGAAAATCTCCTCCAAATCGTCATCTTTGTCGGTATTCGACATAGAGCATGAACATTGCGGTCTGTTCACCAGGGTCTGAAGCAAATCGTTCATCCGCTTCATTTGCATATCTAACTTTGTAGTTTGTCTTTCAAAATCTGCAATTTATTAAACTTTTTTATTATCTTCATAACATATATTTGCATTAAATAAATAGCAAGATAACTTACCAGTCATACGCTGCATCTGCATATCTAACCTTCTTGTTGTTTGTTCTTCGAAATCTGCGATTTTTAAAACTCTTTAATTATCTTCATAAAAAACATTTACATTATATTAGTAGGAAGGTAACTTACCAGTTATATGCTGCATTAGCAAATCCAACTTTCTTGTTGTTTGTTTTTCGAAATCTGCATTTTTAAACTCTTTCGAAAGAGATAATTATCATTATCATATATTTATAACATAAATCTACATTACGTTAATAGCAAGATAACTTACCCCTCCGTTTGCTTTCACGGACATACTACATTATTATTATTATTAACTACTAAATTTATAATTACCTTGGTCCACATGTTCATAATAACGAGGTGCTTCAAAAACCTCCCGAGTACTGGCACTTGTTGGTATTTCATTATAATCGACAGCACGAGCACTTAAACTAGGAAAAGTTATCTCTTCCTCTTCAACAGAATTGTGAAAAGATTTTTCTGAGTTTATCCTTTCTAATTCCCAATTCAACCTCCTTCTAAAATGTCGATTTGACACAAAGCCAATGGATTTCCGAAATTTTCTATCCATACCTATTTATTTATGGAGTTTTTGTTTGAGAAAAATTAATAAGCGGAAAGTTTAGAGCAATAACTGTGACGCCTTGAGATCACGAATTTAGAATGGCGTCGACCATAAAAGGCACCAACATCGTGCCAGGTATAAAACCCTATGCGCATGCGCATCACCTACCGCGCATGCGCTTGGCAAGTCCTGTCGGGAAATTGAGCTACTAGGTTTACCTTGGTTCAACCTGCTGGGTCAAATATTTGTACAAACTTCCAGACGAGAAATGGTACACCTTGGGTCCAAATCAGTGTGTTATGCTTATATTTTTTTACCGGAACGTTAAAATTAAAAAAATAGGTTTAAAAACCGAGTTTTATATTTGTTCCTGTTCGGTTCGAAAAGGAAAGGAACAAAAATTATTGCAAAACCCATTTTACGCATATATATATATATATATATATATATATATATATATATATATATATATATATGTGTATTTTTATATTACAATAATAGGAAGGTGTAATAAAAATTATTTAAATTGTAAAATACAAATGATATAACAAACAACAATACATACATATTTTTAACAGTTTTAAACACTAATGGTTTTCATAAAATATTCCAAATAGGATTATGTTCAGGATCTTGTAGTTGAATTTTTCTTGTTCTGTTGTCATCCGCTGAACGATGAGACATTAAACAAGTTTTTACATAATTATCTGGATTAAATTATTATTGTGGTGGGCCATTCATATTTATAAATAAAAGATTTGTTAGATTTTTAATTAATATTCTATTTCTTTGTTCATTTAAATTAATATTCATATTACTGAATCCTCCACTCTGTCTAACTGCAAGGTACAATATATTTATGTATCGAATTAAGATTTCTATATTTTTGGAACTACGTTGCCTCTAGTATCAATATAATCTCTGAACGCATTGGTAGATCGCATCGGTGAGGTTAAATTAAATCTGGTGCATATGACCGGATTTCATTTTCTTCATAGCCAATTTCAATATCTGCTGGCCACTCCGTTGGTTCTAATACTCGAAATTCACTTATCAAATCATTTTCTATTTGTAGCAATTTTTTAAATTTATTTTTGCCGGAACGGGTTTCGGCCTAAAAATGATTTGTCAGAACGACGTTCCAGCGCGACAGCACCACTGGTCCAAATGCATAGTTCGACCTGCACAGTATTAAAATATATTTATTTTTTTATTTATTTATTTATTATACGCCAATCGGCTATATACAGTTAATTATATAGTAATATAACATAATAATGTTAAACTATGTTATTTATGCCGCATAGAACGACCATAATTAATTTTAGTTTCAAAGACTATTGTAAGCAAAGGGCTGAGTATTCCTGGCAATATTAATTAAAATTTAAATATCCTATCTAACATTTTGTTTTATTGAAATATGATTTTAGAAAACAGGAAGGACGTCATCGTTTTGCAACGGTATCATCAATATGGTACATTTGTCATTTTCATTTTTTTTTTAAGTATTTTATTCATGCATTGAAAACGTACAATTCTAACTAAATAACGGGTTTTCAAATTTTATAATTCACTCAAAAAAGACTAAACCGAAAAAAAACCGACAATTACCTCTGGTGTTAAACTTTTAAATATAATGTTCAAAAACTAAAATACAGTCAATGTACAATTTTTAATTTCCTGTTCAATTTTTTGTAGGAGATTATGAAATTCCTGAGAAGCATACTATCCATGTGCAAAGTATTTCACATTGGGCTCCTGCTAACATTGGACCTTATAGTCAAGCCAGCCGAGTGAGTAATTTAATAAACTAGCTGTAAGTGGAATTCTGTCTTAAGGCAATTAAGGCATCGTGCCTTAAGGCAAATTGCTGGAACTTGCCGTACCAAAAATTATTATTTTTTTAAAAACGATTGACATTTTTAAAAAAAAATTACTTCGAAAAAATAAGATTTTTGAGAAACTATAAATTAAACAAAAAATTACTTTTTTTTGAAAAAAATTTTTTTTCAAAAAAAAATCTATTTTTTTTTTTTTTTAATTTTTTTTGGAAAAAATAATGTTTTCTTTATTTTCGCATATTTTGGAAGATCTTTTTTCAAAGCAATCGTACTGCTTTAACTGCATAGAGACAAAATTTCAAAGCGCGTAAGCGCCGCGTCGCCGTCTAACGAATAAATATTGGTACGGAACCCATAGGAATGCAAACAAAATTTATACTTATTGTTAAAATCTCTATAAAATATCTGATAATTTGATGTGCATATGTCTAATGACCATTTTTGACCGCCAAATGGCATTTTTTTTTACTTTTTTCGTTAGATCTCCGAAACCGCTAGACCTGCCCTCATGAAAATTTGATCAATTCTTCATCTTGTCAATACAAGTCAAATGTTTTTTGAATTATTAAAATCGGACGCTCCGTTCTCTTAAAAAACTGAGTTTACCGTTTTCGGCACTTTTTGCCCGTATCTTTGGAACGGCTGGACCTGCCTTCGCCAAAAACTAATCAGCACGTCTCCTTATCAATACGAATCGAATGTTTTTTGAATTATTCAAATCGGTTGATCCGTGTTCCCGAAATCGTCGACGAAAATTTGTATCCGCACATACATACACACACGCACATACATACATACATACATACATACACACACACACATACATACATACATACATACACACACACACACACACACATATACATCCATTTTTTCTAAGGTATGCCAAAATGTTAAAAAACCTCTGAAACGTAAAGATATATAAAAATTTTCATTTTCGATTTTTTTGCGATTACTATAACTTACCTTACGGGAAGTTAATAAATTAATAACCAGCAATATTGTGTTTTAATTTTTTATTTTAATCAGGGCTCTGATGTTGTTCAACTGGCTGGACAAATAGGCCTTGTCCCTGGTTCTATGAAACTTGTTGATACAATAAGACATCAGTGCAAACTAGCTCTGAGACATGTTGCAAGAGTGGCTTTAGCTGCTGGATGTTCAGAACAAGTAAATAAAATAACTGATTGTATTCACGAAATTAAGCAGTAGTAATATTAATAATATTAATTTTAATTATATAACAACAATAATTTTATCTTTTTTTAAATTGCTTATTAGAAACTTAAATTAATTAGAATATAATATATATATTATCTATATATAGATGCATGTAATATATTCTATATATAATTGGAATTAATTAGAATATAATATAAAGTTGTAATTAAAATATTTTTTATATTATTCAATATCATTTTGTACATATGCTACTTTATTTCTACAGGTTCGTGATGTGGTTCAAGCAATATGTTTTGTGGCTCATCCAGCTCTGATTCGAGAATCCCGCAGACAATTGGAACGATTATCTAACTCAGCTCTGGTTTTGTATTGTGCAGGTTCAGGACCATTGCCACGTGGTGCTTCCGTTGAGTGGTCTGTATGGGCCCATAGGCACAACAAACAATTTCAATGTAAGTTCAAATTAAATAAATAATAAACACAGGGTTATCATATTTGCATGATGTATAACAACATAAAACTGATATTTCTGCTATTACTAATACGCTTTACTGAATAATTCTTATCTATTATTATTTATTATGAAGATTATAATCATTTGAAGCATTCCCAAAAACAAAAAAAAAGAGTGCGCGTAAGGTTCACACGTGATTGAAGTAAAACTTATTTGCTACTGTACAAGATGGCATTTAAGTAAAAATAAATACATCATATAACAATTTTGAATAATGTTTATTAGTAAAATGGTAACACTCATGATGAACATATTTATTAGTGGCAACCATTATACACATTTATATGATAAATTAAGAATTATATACTTAAAATAGCATTAAAAATATGTAAAATATTTAAAAACAATTATGTAATTAAAGTCATACTTCAAATATGACATGATCGGTTTGTCATTGTAATTAGCATTTAAACATGAATCTTCATTAGAGAAATGAAGTAATAAATTCTATAATATTTGTTCACACAGTGGATTATGTTAAACAACGCCTAAACAAATATTGTTTTTGCAACTTACAACACTTATCATGTAATTGTGTTTGAAGAACATCATGTAATTAAAATAACATACATTTATTGACTGACAATAAAAGTATGCAAAAAAAAAAAAAAAAATTTATTGACTGCTTGTATTTATTTTACTTTTTTGGCTGGCGATATAATCTCATTCTTTGAACAGCTGTAAAATCTGTCTTGCCTAAAATATATTTTTCATTTCCAATAACTTCAAAGATTTATAGAAACTACGAATAATATAGAAATAATTTCTAATCAATAAACTTACGTTTAGTACACGGCACAAATGTTTAATTTGCTTTATTATTTTCAAGGAATAGGGTAAAATATTCCTCTGATTCAGACATTTTTCATTAAATCAAGATTTGTACTACGATGTAACTTTAAAATGTTTATTTTTAAATGTTTATTTAAATGCCGATTTCCTTGTTGATATCGATACGTATACAACGACAGATCTCTATTCACATACACGACGACTAATCACAATCGACCCGTAATGATTTCATCGAGAACGAATGACGTACAGTTCGGGCGTAACGCTATTTCCGTTGCATTTGTACGGACTAGTACACCCTAGTTGCGCCTAAAGAAGTTTTACTTCAAAAAATTAGTTGATAAATAATAATAATCAGTTGATTCCATTTGGTGCTGTAATAAAAGAAATAATCTTTGTTTTATTACTATTTTTATATCTATATTCACATATGAGATGAGGATGATGTAACATTTTTGAAAATTTTGGGTATTTTATCTTAATACTTTAATATTTTTTAGATGAAGAAACCGGTTGCTCAATAGGAGAATTCAGTGTTGCTATAACAAGTCGATGGAATTATGAAGGCACAGTATGTGCTTGTATATGTCATCTTTCTACAGGTATTGTATTTAAAACACTCATTTTAATGAATAAACAGTTTTCTGTTCAATTAATTGCTATCATTTAAAGTTAAATTTTTATTCTTGAGACAACCTCTTATACAAAATAACAATTAATCTTTTATTAGCTTGCAGTCTGGGAGCTGATTCAGCTACAACAGCCTCTGCTGTGTCACCTTCTAGTGGAGACTATTCTCAGCTCATTCCTGGTCCACAGATCACAATTGAACAATTGTTGGAAACATTGCGTTATACAGCTAACAAACTATCTCGTTGCTCTGATGGCAAAACAGACAAATTTAGTAACGAATGTGTTGATGAAAGGGATAATGAAAATACAGGTCGTAGCAATTCTAATTCTATAGTTGGAGCAGCAAAGAAAAGGACTTTATCTTTTAAAGTTTTCTATCGGACAGATAGCGGTTTGAATGTTGAAGATTTAGTCACAGCTTGTCAAAGGTATATGATCTATTATATACAAATTATATATTATATATATATATTATATATATGTATGTAATGTGTGTGTGTGTGTAATTTACTTAATTAAAAATCCATTTCACAAGTTATATTGAAATCTTGACAATTGTTGTTTGTGAAACTTCTATCTTTAAGAAATTTGTGTTTAAAAAATATAATTTCTCAATAATAATAAATTTATGAATATCTTTGTAGATTGGAAGAGGAAATAGAACAAAATGTATTGTACACCATATTGCCCGCAAGTTATTTGCAGAATGCTTCTACATTCATCTCTATTTGCGGACTAAGATTTGATTAAAAAGTATAATAATTAGAATACAGATATATTTTTTCTGATATTTCTTTCCATGTGAGTGTAATAATAATTTTATATTTTATATTGGTTCTTTCTATTATTCTATATTCATATAATACAATTTACTTTTAATATTTTATTTGAAAATCTACTATTCGCACACTTCTCAAATATAAGTTATTGAAATTTAATATATAGAAATGGTTAGACTTTAAAAATATGATTCACATGGAAAGAAAGTTTATGGAAAAAATACATTCTGACTTGAATTTATGTACACATATGTGTATGTGAATATATGTGGAATATTGTTGTAAAGAGTTTAATGAGTGGCTACAACGACTCACTGTTGATTGAGCTCTCTTTGTTTGTTACTATAGTTTATATATATACAATACAGTTATATACATATTTATATAAATATTTATTTTTCGACAATATATCTTTTGTGTAAATAAAAATATTTGTTTTATTTAATAGACACAGAATAGTAAAGTAGTTACTGTCAATTATTATTAAAGTGATGCTAATAGTACTACTTCTTTACAAACTTTACAAAAAAGAAGAAGTTCATGTTGTTTCCTCAACGTTTTAAGTCATTCTTGATCTTCTGAAATCAAACCTGATGAGAAAAATATGTTTGTGAGCCAAAATTTTATCTTTTTTGGAGTTTTTTCAAAAATAGCTGTATTGATTTGATGCTTATAAATATATTTTCAATTAATATAATGTATTGTATTGAGCTATTTGATGAAACTCAAACCATTGAAAAATATCATTTAGAAATCGTGCTGATTAGTTTTTATAAAGATTGTTTGGACTATTTCCTCATAATGTATTTCGTAATTGTTGAATACTTTTGGCAATGAATGTTTGCATGACCAAGGTTCATGGTTTTAACGAAAGTCCTGAAATATTAGTGGCCTATAGAAAGTAATATTTTCAATTATAAAAATTGATCAAAGTTTGAAATTTCAAAATTCTATTGTAACCATTTCAATTTCTTACAGAAGTTACTTATAATTATTATTTATTATTGTTATTATTATTATTATTATTATAATTATTATAGTTATTATTATTTTAATTATCATTTATTAATTTATTTAATACTTTTTGTTTTTCTTCATTTTTCTTTGTTTTGATTTTCAATACCCATTTTCAACCTATAGATTTTTATGTAATCTTCAAGAGTTCTTCATTTTCTTTAATTTGAAAAGTTCTGTTAGATAAATATTAAATATAGTAACAAATTATAAATATGATTCCAAATGATCATATATATTATTCCAAAATTAATTTGTTACTGTAGTTCACAATTGTGAAGTATTTTGGAAGGGTTTTCTTCAATTCGTATTTTAAACCCATATGCCAAACTTTGTCGAAGGCTTGGCTGATATCAAGAAAAACTGCTGCACAAAATACTTTTTTATTTAGGGCATCAGTAAGGATTTAGTTTATTGTTATTTATTGATAACAATCAGAACGTCAATTTCATTATATGAGTTATATTTTAATTTACATGAATTAAATTTAATTATAGATAGTTACCCCAGTGGGTATAATTACTACGAGATACAATTTATTTGATCAAGTTAATAGGCCAAAATATTTTAATACTTGATTCTGGTGTGATGAGCAGCAGAACAAGGAATGAATTGGGGAGATTGTTGAAACCAGAAGTCAATAAAAATAATAAAATGAACATTTCAACATTTTTGCTATATCTGATCCACTGATCCTCATTCATGAGCGATCAATATTTTATATATTCGACAAATTGAAGTAACTTGCCTTAAGACAAAATGCCACGTAGACCTAGTTGTTATTACTACTTTTTTAATCATTACTTGATATATTTTTTGTAATTAATTTGGTAAAATAAAAACAATTTATAATTATAATAAATTATATAATTATTATAAAATGCCACGTACATCTAATTTGTTATTACTACTTTTTTTTAATTATTGCTTGATATAAGATCTTTTTTGTATTCAAGTTGGATGAAATAAAAACAACGTATTATTATAATAAATTATTTAAAATAATAAATTAGTCTAGGATTGCAACGACTAAGACGTATTTCGCTTCTTTCTTCGTAATAAATACTTAGGCCCTGAACATTGGCATCATTGATAGCCCTGAACTTGGTAGTAAGATAAAAATAATTATAAGTTAATTTTGCGCACTCTGGCAACACATATCACAGTACAGATTGTCGGTTGAAGTGAGTTGGGTATGAATTTTAGTTCTCAATAGTTGTTTAGTGCTCAAAATGGTGATTGTGTAAGTGATTATTTGAATTTGTAGACAGAAACAGTGATTGTCATCTAATAACTTACATGTAAGTCTATCACTTGTGTCACATTGTATGATATATTTATTTATATAACCTTTAAATCTATTAAATTATTATCAAAATATTAAAGTTTAATTGAATTTCTAACAAGAGCATTAATGATGTAATAATTATCAGCTTGCTAGTTCAGAATTTCAAAGATAGATAATTACAGCGATATATAATTCTTTAATCAGCTTAAACTCTTAAATAATCATGAATCCAGTATTCTTTAGAAACTAATCAGTTGAATAAAATATTTTGGGAAATAAATTTTCAATTATAATACAAAATGTATATCTGTCAGACAGGAGTGTCTTATGGTATGAGAAATCTTACAAAAAATATATGCATAGTATATATTTACTCACATGCCACTATTATATGTATAACATGGACCATTTTAACATTTTCAAATTACTCAAGCATACATATATATTTTTTCATTTATATATTGGTCTAATCTATTTACCTCAGGTTTCTCGATAATATTCTTTTATCTCTTTTAAAATTTTACTCTTCTTCAGAGACCTTGTTCTTCCCGAGAAGCCCCTTAAATGTTTTATAGCACTCTATAATGTGTTCAGTCTGGTTTAACTTGTTCTTCTGTTGTGCTCATGTATATTCTTATTTATTGATATAAATATTGTTTCACTTCCAGGTACTATACATTAACTTTGAAAATATGAACATACTACACTCTTCTTTGAATCATTCATTAGATGATATTGAAGTTTCAATCTCATATCAGGTTGCGACTTCCACAAGCTTTATTGTTCAATACCACTAACACATGACAGCAGTAGCAAAGTTTATCTACAGATAATCGTGTTCGATTGAGTAAGGGATTGAGGATTAGGATTAGGTAAGCAATCAGTAAACTAAGTTTGTCTTTTTCATCAAAAACAAATAAAAACAAACCTTGCTTCAGCAGTCAGTGATATGCAATTAAAACTTATGGAATTTTTTATCATATTTAAATTATATATTACATTGATGATGAGACACACCAGTCTTGAAACATCTATCTATTTCGAAAGTCCTAATTTGTGTTTTTGATGTTGAAACTTATATGTATATATAATAAGCAGTCAATGTAGTTTTTTTCATTTTATTTTAAAAATTCGTTTGTGATGGTGTTCATGACAAAATAATTTATTCTTCAAACAAAAATTAATTTGTAGTTGCTAAGTCCACTTGATTTTCTAATCTTCCCATAGATACGGAAGATCTAATTCTGAAATTGAAATTATTCACATATTAAGATGAAAAATTTATATAAACATTTTTATATAAATTTATAAATAAAAATTGATTATTTATTATAATAATAATTGATAAATTATTGAATACTCTTTGATTAAAAAGGTTAAATGTTTTATAAATAATATTATTGCACAAATTTACTTAAACTTGATTGATTGATATATAAACATATTTAATTTTACATATATATATATATATATATATATATATATATATATATATATATATATATATATATTTTATGCAAATAAAACTACATATATAATCTAGTCAATATATTAAAGTTTCATCTCTTTTTATAAATGATTTCATAAGTATTTTTTTCTTTTCTAATGGATTGTTACATTGTTCTTTCGTTTGATCAAACAAAATAGATATTGACTTATATAATCAACAAGTAACACTTTATTCTATTTTATTTTATATGTTAATATTTTAATCAGTCTCTTCCCTATATTTAAAATGGCATTATATAAACAAATTATTTTATCTGTTCATTAGAGATATTTTATGTAATTGTTGAAACACTATTGTCTTCATAATTTAAATTGTACAAATGGTTTGAAAATAAGTGTGGTTTTGTAACTGGTTCAAGAAGAAATCCCCATATTACCAATCCAATAAGAAATAGTGAACAAACTCTTTCCTTCTTTGGCGATTTATAAGACAAAGCTTCTTCAAAATTAGGAAATCCCATGTGGTTACAAAATGCATGCACCACAAAAGGAGCTGCAAAATGTCCTGTCCTCACAAATAAATAAGCTGAGTAAACTCCAAATAATGTTGTATACAAAAATTGGAATGAAGATATGATGATTGTAGTCTTCAAACACATCCCGGATTTTAATCTCTCTTGCATATGGTGAAAATGTGCAACTCCAAAAAATAATGGACATATTAAAATTGACGCAAGTCTTCCAAAGCACTGCTGAAGTAATGGCAACATACAAGCTCGAAAAGTGAATTCTTCAGACAATGGAGCCACTATATGATTCCGCAGCCATATCAAATTTGTGAAATTATCCATGTATTCGCTGGCATTAAAACCGCTATATTGAGTCATTGATAAGGGTCCAAGGAATAAGACCATTGTTAACATAAGTGGTATTATTGAAGCATTTACAATACCATCTATCCTGAATCCAAGTAGCTCCCAAATTGTAGCTTTCTTAAAAAGTTCTTCAGAACCCATTACATACAAAAACATGGGTGATATAAACATCATGATGAATACACTAAAAAATCTTCTTTTAATTGTTAAGGGATGATCTCTTGGGTAGTTGGAGCTCCAAATGTAAAGACTAGCAACATAGGTGATTGACAGCAACAAACACGCACCCACTGAATAGAAATAAACTGCTACAGACATTATTTTGAATTTTGATAATACTAGAATTTAGAATATAAAATACTAAAATTTTATTCAGTCATGAATCATTCAAACCACTCCCGAGATCGAAAATTGTTTCACATAACCTAAAATGTCAGATATGTAATTTCATTAACGATATTTTTCGATTTTCAACATGATTTTATGTTAGAATGTGGAATAAATTATGAATTTTGTGTTAATTTCGTATACTTTGTTATAATTTTGAAAGGCACATTTTTATAATTTTTTGTGAAATGCCATCTTTGAAAATGTTTAATGACAGATCGGTTTTGACAGATGACATAAGTCAGCTGTCAGCTGGTTCGATAATTAACTGAAATTCAATTTTAAACTTCCCGAAGGAGTTTAAGTCTTAGCCAGAAAATCAGATTTGCTAATTTATTTTTCTTCAACATTTTAAGTCATTCTGAATCGTTTCACACCAAAATTCAGCAAAGTATTTGTGTTTTATGTGCATGTAAGCCATTTAAGAGGCGTCCATTAATCACGTGAGGTTTTTCGTGGGGAGGGAGGGTTACAGTAATATATCACGTGTATTCATTTTTTAACTATTTTTTTAAAAAAAGTTCAAACATTTTCAAAAAAAAATTCAAAAATTGTGCAGTTTTTCCACCTAACTAAAATCCATTAATCGCGAGAGGCTTGAAGCGGGATGATTAAAAATCATGAATAATTACGTAGAGGGAGGGGGGATCTAGTAAAGATATCACGTGAATTTCTTTTACCTTAACTTAAACAAAAGATTCAAAATATTCAAAAAAAATTACAATTTTTTCTAGGGACTAAAAATACACGTGATGTTTAGTGGGGCAGGTGAAGCAATTTTAAATATCACCAAGCATTACCCAAGAGGGAGGGAGAGGACCAAAAATCCTGATTGGCAAAGCTCTAAAATTTAAAAAAAAAGCAAAATAATTTGTCCATTATTTCGAAAAAAATCCAGAACCGATTTTATAAATTTAAAGACTGTTCTAAATAACTAAATAAAATATCAGTTTCAGAACCGTGCTAATGAGTTATCTGTAAAGATCGGCCAGGCCAGGTTTTTTGTGATTGACTGTTGATTTTTTTTTGTCGATTTTGATGAATCATTTTATATAGAGTTCATGGTCTTAACTATATCTTAGAGAACAACTCAAAATAGTAAGGATCTAAAATTATAAAAGTTTATCCTGGATGATAATTGTGAAACTGTGTCAATTTATAAAAAGTCTCGTGACTATTTTAAAAGTTCCTAAATCTCAATTCTTACTGATTAAAATAAATTTTGAACTTACATTTTACCTAAGGCAAACATGCGGTGATTTGTAGTATTGCACTATTTCTTTTTTTATATAAGAAACCATACGTTTTAATAAAGTTTATTAAGTATTTAATTTCATAATTAATAAATATATTTATATAATATTTTCATATAAATAGCTTCCTAACAATAACAAATTCTTAAAATTTTTCTGAATTATTCTAACTTGCAATCGAAAAGTTACAGATTAGATCTTGAATTTTCTTTGTGTAAAGCGTAGCAAATGTAATACATTTTAACAAAATTTAGTAAAATTTTAACATAAATTCAAATATTATTCTACCTGTTAACAATACTCCAATGAATACTTTACTATTTTAAATTCTAAAACTGAAAAATCCGTTAAGAAATAACGTGATTCTTACTTATAAAACTGTTGATTCACAATTTATGTCTCGAATTTCTTGCATTTAAAATTACATGTTGCATGATTTAGAAAATACATATAATTTTAATCATAATTATTGTTATTAACATATTGTTAATTAAATATTAGCAATAATAATGATTAAAGGTATATATCACAAAACAATAATATGTTACTTATAAAACAGTAAGTCCTGATTTGTTTATTAAATTGAACAGGTTTGAGTATATTTGATAAAGGATTATTCTTATAAGAATACAAGGCTTTATAAAAAAATATTAATAACTTAAATTAAATTGAAGGATATATTCTCACTTTTCAAGATTTAATTTATATTAGAAAAATAATTTTGTATCACAATATTGTGTTGATCACCTAGTTTGTTATTTTAATAAAAATTAAATATTATTGGTCCTTAACCTGGATGAAAAGATGGGTTAAATAAGAAAACCATTATCATAGTTTGTAGAAATTTCTATTCCCAGTTTGACTCATCTGAGAAAGAAATAATATAAACTTTTATAAAAAAAAAAGATTAATAATTAGCACAAATATTCACAAATAAGAAGTTAATGCCTAATATTAACTTAATTAAAAATGATGTAAAAATATTAAATTTTATAAAAAAAATCGACATGAAGAATTCTAAATAATTTATGTGGTAAGTCATTTCGTCCTTATGCTATCTATTATTTATGTTATTAGCTTTACATATAAAATGTTTTTTGCTTGTGTTCAATTTTTCAAACTAGTTTTACTTTACTTTATTCTGTTTTTGTTATTTTTTATGATAAAACTTTTAATAATTTTTATATTATATCTTATATTATTTTTATTTTGTAGGAGTCAAATTGGGACTTGAAACGAATAGAAATGGATTAAAAATATTTTTAGACACATAATTTAGTTTTCTGTCTATTCTTATTATCTGTATGGATGCCTGTTTAAGAAGTATTTTGTTTTAATAAACAATTATTTGATATATCCAATTATGTCTGAATTATTTATATGCAATGTGTTTATCTTATAACTTTTATGGCAATTGTTTTCATCAGTGACTATGATCCAATGGTCCAGATATAAATTTAATAAATAATATAATATAATAGCCTATGACCTATCATATCACATATCTAAATCTAAATTTTAATCAATATGTCACTAAATTTCTTGGGAAACAAGAAACAGATTCAAACTGTGTTCATTTTTATTTTATAATAAAAATGAATGAAAGTTATTTGTCTAGCTCTAGATATGCGATATGTATTTTCTTTTAGTTTACCATCAAAAGGATAGTGCAAAATTGTGATAAACATAATATGCAAACATGATCAGAATTCATCATATTTATGTTCAAGTTTGCCAGTTCAAGGCTTATAATAATTTATCTTAACCTTCTAGTACTTTCTAAAAGCAAATTTACAAAAATCAATAATTTTTATAACGGAACCAGTTTCCTTAGGACTTTAATGCTTTAGTATGTTTATTAAGACCAAGTACTCTATCGTTATACCAAGTAAATCGTCTATATTTAGTTTAAAAAAACGTCAAAAAAATTACTCATTTTCTCAAACTTTCATGAATTTTTAAAATTAAACTACTTGTTGTAAGGCCGTAATATTTCAGTAAGATCTATAAGACCATGATATATATCGCCAAAAAAGTTCCAGCAACAAGAAAACGGCCCACTTTTATAAAACTAATTGGTTGCTAATACAATAGCTTTTTGCTCTGTGATATGGATGCTATCAAATATTTTGTCAACAACCCCCTTCATTGTACCATAGATACATATTTGCACTATCCTTAAGGTTTTTGGTGGACGCCAATCAACAATCTAATCATATTAGATTTTCACTGATAGTCATAATGGATCAGATAATTAATCTGTTCCCATATTTATAAACTTATATCTAAAAACCCCTTCTGGCACCTCTGAATTGTCTTTGTCCATCATTAGCGTCATGGACGCATGGCACCCTGACCAGGTTGAAGTATATGTTTCCCATCAGCTGCGCAGCCGGAGTCTTGGTGTTTCGTAGGCATTCGAATAACAAATCATCGCAGAGGCAATGTGATCTGTAAAAAATATGAAAGAAATATAATTTGTTTAAAGGTGATTTCGATATTTCAGCTAATTTGTATTGATTTAATCATACTTAAGTTTTATTTAACTTCACATCTTGGCCTGAATTTGAAATAAAAAAACTTGGTTACCTAAATATTTTAAAAAGTATTCTGAATGAGAATCTTGAATTTTGCGGATATAAACTTTCAGTGTGAATTTATCCAAATTTTAAATCTTTTTTTTATCTGTTTCTTAATTTACTTACTTGGTGTACAGTGAATTGTTCGTCAAATTGTATCTCTGTTTGAAAGCTCTAATTTTTACTGGGCACAAATCGTGAGTTCTGCAGCATTTATCACTGTCCTTGTCGCTTCCCAAGTCGTGATATGTGGTCGCAATGTCGCCAGTGCCACACCATTTTGTTCCTGAAAAATAGAAATTTTTTAATAAACACTTACTTGGTATAATAAGATGGGTAATATAATATGATTGAACGTGCGATTGGGTGTTCGAATTGAATATATGAATCAGCAACATTAAAGTTTTATAGGGTAACATTTAGGGTTAGATCTATTGTGTTTTTATCAAAATAACTACAATACTATCTAGTGCAGTAAACGGAGAGAAAAAAAGAAAATAATGTAACCTCTGAATTTTTTTACTGTGCTCCGAATTGAATGAAATTTTGGAATTAGGTTCATCTTACCCTCAAGTTCAAAAGTTTTTTTTTTTTTTTTTGTTACAATTTATTTTTGTTAATCAAGACTTTAAGTTCAAAAGTGAAAACAATTCGGGTTGCGCCATCACCCCCCGGGGGAATTACACCCCTTTTCAATTGTGTAATTACATTTTTTCAAAATAACGTCGGAAATCGATAGAAGAACTAATTATAAGAAAAAAATGTTTTTTATAGTTTTTCAAAAAAAAACTAATACTTTTCAAGTTACTGTCCACTAAAGATTCATATATTTTTGGTGTTTTTCTTCGTCTTTTTGCAAATATCTCCTAAAATATACATTTTAACGAGAATCATGTAATGAACAAATAATGTTAATAAAAATCTAATCATGGTATTTTTAGATTATATATGTCATAAATATGTAAAATATAACCTAAGCCTGAGACCACATACTCAAGAAATTAAATTTATAAAATATGTAATACACCTAAAATTATATTATAAACTATAGATGACCCGACAGACGTTGTCCGGTACTTATATTTACAATTCAAAAGTTCAATTTTTTTTAATAACCTATACTGATATTTACCAATTAGTTAAAAATTATTATGTTTTTTTACACTACAGTGTATACCGAAATGTATATGCATCCACCCATATGGATCTCAAATGTACAACTGCTTTAAATAAAATGATGAGTATTTGCTCTTTTGAGAATCATTATAAAACATTTTTTTCTTATAATTAGTTCTTTTATCGATATCCGACGTTATTTTGAAAAAAATGAAATTACACCACTGAGAGGGGTGTTATCCCCCCCGGGAATAGCAAAGGAGTCTAAATTATTTTCACTTTTGAACTTGAGAGTAAGATGAACCTAATTTCAAAATTTCATACGAATTGGAGCACAGTAAAAAAATTCAGACCCAAAACGCTCCATTGACTTGAGTAAATATTCCGTATCCGATGGCAAAAGTATGAAAATACTAACGTTTGTATGTGAAAAATGGGCTGTTTTAAGGGTTTTTCCGGCAATTATTCGATTTTTACTCGCCGTAGGAACCATTCTTGAACTTCAACGAACATTTTAAAAAAAAGAATTGGTCAAATTGGTTCAGGCGTTATTGAGTTATGCGCTTACCAATATCTTTTGTGACTCATTTTCATATTATGGATACAAGTTTCGTGCCACGAAAATTTACGTCGCTCCTATCAACAGCCTCCGTGGCGCAATTGGCTAGCGCGTTCGGCTGTTAACCGAAAGGTTGGTGGTTCGAGCCCACCCGGGGGCGATATATTTTACCATTTTTGGGATGGTAATAACTTATCAAATTAACTTTTTTATATTTTTGAACTTATTAAATTAACTAAAATATCCAAAAATAGTTCCAATGGAAAATAAGTTTTGTTTACTAAATTATCATGATTTTTCACAAAAGTTGGTGTAAGTTTCGCCGAAAGTGTTACCAAATCTTAATTAATCTCAATGGAAGGGTGTTTAGGTTAGAAGCTATAACGATAAATTAAGAAATATATTTAAATGTACATTTGATTTTTATTCATCAAAGTGACTGTCTGTCTATATAAATATATACGCGTCCTTGGATTCTAATCGAATGCATTTTATAAGCTTGGGATTTATAGTTTTTTAGCATTCACACGTAATGACTATAAAAAATTAGCGAATTGTGAATGTAGTCTGAAAAATAATTAACATTTTATCGTCTGTTCCATTTTAATGTCAACATAAAATTTATTAATATGCATTAAATCTTGAGAAGATTCACTAAATATTTAAGTCAATTTTTAACCAATTTTCTATATTTGGCGCATGAAAACTAGGCGCATTTTTTATGGTCTTTCCAGCAGAACTAAAGGTACTATGCTTGTGAGCTTTTGGACTAATACTTCTTCTTAACTAACTCATTCTCTTTTTGAGAAGCCTACCCGATGATTGACGTATTTTTATGTTAAAAGACGACTCAATGATTGCCCTTTTTAGTGTACATATATTCTAATTTTTGCAATAAAATGCCCGAAAGAGCAATTTTCACTTGGAAGAAACATATTTCAATCTATTACATTTTTAAAATTGAGAATCGATTTAAAAATTTCAAGTTAAAATTCTGGACTGTTTCGCTACGAGCGTCGTCTATAGACGACATCCACAGGACTTCTACGTTTATATGGGTGTCGCCGTCTATAGATAATATCCATGTTACATTCAGAGTGTCAACCTTTACTTCAAGAACTATCACTGAAGATAAACTGTCGAGACTTCTAAATTTTTATTGTAATTTTTCATTTTAAAATGCATTTTTAATTTTTCTTTATTGATATATAGTAATCCTAGCTATCTGGAGAATTATTAATGATAGTTGAATATCTCGTTTTGCAGGATGAATTTAAGAGAGGCTGCCCGCAGGATACGTTTTTGTATCTACTTCAACTTCAATTTGAGATGAATACTACTTGGCAGTATAAGGAATTCAAATTATTTCAATATCATGAAAGTGGTTTTAGGTAACAAAGAAAAGAAAATTAATAATTTCTGCAGAATATATATGTTTAATTTGAGTTAAAAAGTCGCGTTAAATCAATAAAAATAGTATGAGAGATTTTAGAAATTTATCTGAAATCCATACGTTTCGGCTAGCATCTTAGCCTTCATTCAGTGGCAATCAATTTAACTATAAAAATTAAAGATAAATAATATGTAAGAAATTTCATAGAAAAACAATAGTAATAATAATAATAATTAAAAAACTTACAATTTTGTATCTTAATATAACATATGAAAACATTGATAATCTATGGTATGAGTATGTGCACATTGGTAAAGTATATATTTTTTAACATCACAGATGGTAAAACACACAAATAAACATGATAACTTAACAAGTTGTCGAAACTATGTATTTACTGTTCGGAGTTTAAGATAGAAATGTCTTTTTTCTTTAAGCAGTTTTTAGCATGTTTCAAATTTTACAAGAAATTTAAAAAGCGATGGGATCTAGTCATTTTTTAAGATATTTTGACACGCTATTTAGTATTTAGGAACCACGTATTTGTTTTGTTCAGGGCCGTATTGTCGAATCGTTTGTTTATGACCCTCTCGTTATGCGATTGCAAAAACAACACCCTTCAGCAAATCTTCTTTTAATTAGGTTCTCTTCAAAATGTAAACATTTGGAGTTGGAAAAATCTATAGTATGATTTAAAGTAATTATATGCTCGGTTAACATCGTTTTAAATGTGTTGGGTTTTTTTTTAACTCAAATTAAACATATTATATCTACATCAAAAAAAATATATATATATATATATATATATATATATGCATTTGTGTATAATAAGCAATCTCAATAATTTGTGTATTATCATCGTACCTGGTACTATGCCGCTGAACAAACTCAAAGGACCGGTAGTTATGAACCCTCTGGATTCTTGTTGATCCTGTTGCTCCTGCTGCTCCTGTTGCTCCTGTTGCTGTTGCTTTTGCTGCGGTTTTTGCTGCTGGTGTTCCTGTTGACTCTGCCTGACCCGAATCGGACCTTTGCCGCTGGTTGAGCTTTTGGGTTCCTCGAATTCAGAGTCGTCATAAGTCCTGTCACCAAACGTCTTGGTACCATACGCCTTGTCACCATACACATCGTACTCGTTTTCATACGTCGATATCGGTGATGACAATTGGAGGTTTTCAACATTGTCGACTGTCTGGCACTGGGTCATCAGTTGGAGCATCTCCGTGAAACCGATTCCTAGATAATGTAAGTAAAGTATTGTACAAACATTTGCATAGCAAGATGAATCGTTTTGGTAATAACTAACTTCCCGTAGGGCAAGTTATAGTAATCGCAAACAAATCGAAAATGAGAATTTTTATATATCTTTACGTTTTAAAGGTTTCTGAACATTTTGGCATACCTTAGAAAAAATGGATGTATGTGCGTGTGTGTATGTGTGTCCATGTGTGTGCGGATACAAATTTTTGTCGACGATTTCAAGAACACCAATCAACCGATTTGAATACTTCAAAAAACATTCGATTCATGTTGATAATAAGACGTGCTGATTAGTTTTTGGCAAAGGCAGGTCTAGCCATTCCGAAGATACGGGGCAAAAGGTGCCACAAACGGTAACTCAGTTTTTAAGAGAAGAGAGCGTTCGATTTTAATAATTCAAAAAACATTTTACTTCTATTGACAAGATGAAAAACTGATTAAATTTTTGGGAAGGCAGATCTAGAGACCATGGACTCTCAATAAAAATAAGTAAAAAAAATGTCATTTGGCGGTCAAAAATGTTTATTGGACTTATGCACATCAAATTATTAGATATTTTATAGAGATTTTCATAATGTGTACACATTTTGTGTAAATTTTTTTGGGTTCCGTACCAAGATTTTTTAATTACGGTACGGGAAGTTCCAGCAATTTGCCTTAAGGCACGATGCCATGCACCCCACTAGTTTAATAGTTTCTTTAATTAATGTTAATTTTTTTATTTTGCGAACAAAGTGGATAGTGGGTCATCATTTGCAATAGATCTCAATAGCATCCAAGTCTAGTGAAAGTTATATGTTAAATATACTAAATGAAGTGGAAAGTTAGAATAATAAAAAGATGCATGTATATGATGCAATAAAATAAAATTAAGTGTTATTCCATTTAGTTATTTCTATTTATAGTTTTGAGCTATAATAAATATAAAAGAATAATTAAATTCAGTCAGTATCAATTATCAGATTCTTTGTTTCTTTGACTCATAGTTAAATAAATGTAGTTTTATATCTCTTGATAAATTGGCTTTAGATTTAATGATCAATAGAAAATTTGAAGTAGCGTTAAATGGTTTAGACAACTATGAATAAAATATATAGTGGATTTTTTTATATCAGAGAGAGAGGTTTTAAAAGCTATTAAAAATTTTATTTGTCGTATTTGATTCAGGTTGACAATTTGCGAATCTCTGAATAGCCTATAATTTGGCAAAACTTTCTTATTGAATAAATGAATGACCAAAAAATTGTTTAAACTTTTAGAAACCGATAATTGTTTATTAGATAATAATATTTACCTGCTTCAGAAATTTTTGCATTATTTATATAACTAAAATTAGGTCAAAGAAAAAAAAGAAATAAATTTTCATATCGAGAATTAAGCAATGTCTATCACTTTTAACATGATTCAACCTATTTTTTTAATATTATTAAAGTTTTGATAAATGATTTGTTGTAAGAAATAACAAATAACAAACATTGATTCCTTAAGACTTTGAGTAGCCTATCAATTATTCAATTATTAAAAATATAATATGTAAAAAATAAATCATCTTAAGTTTTACAATAATTTTAAAATACTTACCTAGTGGTCTATTAACAGTAGAGGCTAGTTTTGCCAGAAGTTCGGAACCATCTGCATCATTACTGAAATTGAAAAATTAAATATTTAGATAATTAATTAGAAACTTGTATTGAGGAGTGACTACATTGCATAGACAATTAGTAAATTATTAAATCCATTATCGATTTTTTTAATTGAAGTACTCTTCTTTCGTAAATTTTCTTCAAACGATATAAAAATGTAGTTCGTGGGAACAATGAAATATGTTTCAGTAGAATTATCTGACACATTGAATATTTTATTTAGGTCTTTTAACTTAATATTACAGTAATCACAATACTGGAAAAATTTGATTTTTGAAAAATTAATTTTGAACCATACTTTGAAAAAAGAATTAGAACATTTTGATTGTAAACTTAACTAAATATTCGGATTTTAGTCTGAACTTATATAATAATTGAGAAATTAAAAATACGTGAATTTTAAAAATATAACTTTATAATTTAAGAAAAAAAATTTTAATTAACCAAATTTTGGAATTTTGAAAAATTGAAACTTGTCAAAATATTCAGGTTTAAATTTGAATATTAACTTATAGAGTATATGGAAAATTTAAAAAATCACTATTTCTTAAGAATGATTTCAATTTAAATCTAAACCTATAAAATAATTTAAAAAAATCTTAATTTTTGATAAAAATAATTTTGATTCTCATGTCTGAACCAAATTTCGAAAGACTGTTTGAAATATATTTACTAAAATAAAATAATCTTAAGTAAATTTTGTACTATATTATAAACTTCCCGAGGAAATTTCTGTTCTCGCCAGAAAATTTGATTTGCTAATTTTATGTTTTTTGACGATTCAAGTCATTTAGAATTGTTCGACACCAAAATTGTAGAATGTATGCGTGTGTATGTGAGTCAAAAATTGACCTTTAGTCGAAGTTTTCTCAAGGCTTTGCAACATGTCTTAAGGCATAATGCCACTTTCACCTAGTTTGTTTGCGCAGTCGATAGATAATATATAAAAATAAATTGAAAATGCAAATAAAATATCTCAATTAAAGAATACTATCCAACTTCGGAAAAAAATAGAGATAATTGTTTTATATTTTTTACAAACACTAAAAATCCGAAACATCTCTAACATCTATGCAAACGAGAAACATGTGAAAAGTTTTGATTTGTAATGTAATGTGTACTGGTGTTAATATTGAATTATTAGATGTATTAATATGTTACAAATGCGGTTTCCAACCTGTGGAGTGCGCCCCCTCAGGGAGGCGCGTACATCTGCTTCCAGAATACTATTATCAAAACAACCCACCATTTTTGGAACAAGATTAAAAAATAATTAGTTTTTATGCATATTTTTAAATAATATTGCATATTAATTTGTAGTCTGATAATATCAGTTTAGTATTTACAAAATTAAATTAAATTGAAAAAATTAAGGAGAGCGCAATAATTTTTTTTATTAGAGCAGCGGGGCTCGGTGCAAAAAAGGTTGGAAACCACTGTGTTGCAACGATTTTTATAAAGATTAGGTTATTTTAAAAATATTAAATTTTAGTATATATAATTATACTGATTTGTACATTTTAAAAAGTACTTTTTGAACGAATAACAGTAATTTAGATCCAAATTACTTAAACTTTGTTTGTATGTTTTAAAGTCTCTTTCTCTTTCATTTATTTTAAGAACAAGGCATTGTAGATCAATATATTGAAATTATTTTAATAATTGCCTAAATAGAATAAAAATTTTAATAAATAATATGGTCAAAGCAAACTTTCCACAATTGAGTACATATATGAAATTAAAATTGCACATATTGCACCAAAATTTTTTGTTGATATGCTGCTAATGTAAATTGCACTTAAATATATTTCTTTTTAATAGAATATACGTTCATATTTTATAACAACACGATATCTTTAGATAATATTAATATTAGTCTTTGTTGGTAAAATATTCGTATTGGCTCAGATAACCATCAAACCACTAAACGATAATTTTCAATGTGTGTTTCGTGGGACTCTTACTCCTTCCAACAGCCTCCGTGGCGCAATTGGCTAGCGCGTTCGGCTGTTAACCGAAAGGTTGGTGGTTCGAGCCCACCCGGGGGCGATATATTTTTTTTAATAAAATGCATTATATATAAATTGTTTTTTTTTTGTTTTAAAAGTAAATATATTCAAAATTACATGTAGTGACTACAAACGTGTTTTTTTATCGTTCTGAACTTTTTAAATAATATCAACCTTTTCGACTCGAATGCCGCCGCTCCGGCGGCAAAAATGCATATAAATTTCGGAATTCGTGAGTGGAAAGGATTAATCGATTTTCATTCTTAATTTATTCCTTTTGACAGACAATGAATCAAACTAGTTGTAAGTAACATTTTACCTTAAGACAAATTGCATGAATTTTCCGACACGTAAAAATAATCGGCTTATCCGATAAGAATTGAGATTCAAGTGTTTAGGTAAAATATTCAACTGTTTATTATTTCGATAATATAACATTTTCTCTTTCACTAAAAATTTAACAATACGTTTTTCAATTGATGTCATTCATACATACTTATAATATCTATAATAGTATAAATTTGAACGAATAATTTGTTTATCACATTACATTTGATCTATTTCGTGTTCTAAAAATGTATTTTATTTGAGTGTGGACGTAAACTGTAATCAGTAGCTACCTACGATAGACCACCAAACGTACAGAGATTACGGAATAGATTCTGATTAGAATCGCTTAAACGCAAGGCGAAATTTTGATGTTTTTTATAATTCAACAATTATCATATGTCTACAATATTTTAGTGTTTTATTCGAGCCTATCGTCATACAAAGTTTTATCAATTTTGTCAAAATCAATCAAACGTTGAAAAAAAATTCAACGTTTAATTACGAAGAAATGGCTTGGTCAATCTTTACCGAAAGCTTATCAACGCGATTCCCAACCAATATCTATCAAGCAGTTTTTGAATTTTTATTATTGATTGTGGGCTAAATTACAAAGAAGCGGCTCAACCAACTAACGCAAAACTAATCGATGTTGGTCGTTGTAGAGATACATCCAATAACTTTTACATTTTTGATATCGGTCCAGCCGTTTTCAAAACTTTGCTCACATACACACACATACTTTTCCCAAATTTGGTTTTATTTGATTCAGAATGGCTTGAAACGTAGATAAAATTAGCAGATAGGATTTTTTCACGAAAACATAAGCTTCTCCTTCAAGATCTTTTTCATCTCTTGATATTTTTAACACATTCTACATAATATTAAAATAAATTTGGGAAAAATTATGCAAATATATGCATAAAATGTAAGAGTCGCGCGTTCTGGTAAGTGTTCAACTGATTTATTTTGTGTAATTTGAATTTTAAGTATTCAAAATATATTAGTAACTATGAGACAATCTACTTAAGATTTCTATGAGCTGCTGTGATGATGTTTCTTAATTACCTGACATTTTTTTAAAAGACAACCCAGAAGTTATAGTGTCAAAAATCAGATATTTTGGGCCAACTCGCAAAGGAAATATGAAAAGCTATGGCAAATATTGAAATATGAAAAGCTATTAGTATGTGACTTATAAAACCTTTCCTAAATACATAATCATAAAACAACTAAGCTAAGCATACTGCCAAATAGGGCATAACGCTTTTATAAGTAAAGTCACTTTGTTATTTGTAATAAATCTTGTAATGTGCTCATTTCATTTGTTCCTTGATTAATATAAATTTAACAGTTTGATTAATAGTATTGAACTGTTGATTGTCCATCAGATTGAAATTTCAATCAGGTGGCTCATAGAGAAAGCCGCAGCAAAACGGGGCCAGGAAAATGTTTTTATTATGAAAACATACGTTTCGTGTCTTGATTTGACCCATCTTCAGTGCCACAATTAAATATTTTAGGGTTATAATTTAAAACAATATAAAAAATACATAATTACAGAAAAATATAAATAAAAACTTGTAAAAAAGCGTAAATCTAATCAATTTAATAAATTTGTTTTATAACTAATATATATATATTGTGAAAGTATATAAAAGTGAAAATACAAACATAGACATAGACAAATGTAAGGAACTCACCAAACAAATAAATTGAAAAAAAAAAACACAAAAACACAAGATGAAGATAGGTCAAATCAAGACCCGAAACGTATGTTTTTCTAATAAAAACATTTTCCTTCAATAAAACTGTTTTTAATTACTGGATGGATGCCCAAGAACAATTTTATCATATATATATTACTTTTCTGAAATGAAAAGCGTCCGTTTTGCCCAAAAAATATTTTAGTTTTTATTTTTATCGACATTTAGGATATAAATGATATCTTTTTCAGAAACTGTAAACTTAAATTTTATCAAAAATTACATATTATATAAATTTCTAGGACAGGTCTAAATTATCATTATTTCAATGTGTCAATTCATTCATTCATTCATATTTATTATTTTATTGGTTATTTATATATGTACCATTGTATAGCGTGATGAATATTTTTATGAGACAACTTTCACAAATTCTAAAAATATATTTTTTGTCAGGAAAAAATTGCAAATCGATCAAGAATAAAACGTGTAGATGGTAGTTTTTAATATTAATTTGGCAAGTAGTTACTACAAATTTATTTGGAAATTTTATTTTTAACATTTATATAACTGGAATAAATAAACTTGAAAAATAATAAATATTTGAATATGTATTTTTCACTGAATTTCATAATATAAAGTTATGCTACTAAAGCATATTCATGTGAATATGCAATTTGCATTAATTCCGTATAAATGTAAATGGTTAGTAATTATTTATTTGAGTTAGTTTTATTTGAGATCTTTTAAGGACAAGCTATTTATATCGTATTAAAAACTGGCATAAAGGTGTAAAAAACAAAGCAATTTCTGATAAAGGCATTGCCATCCATGGTCTACCAGTTAGTTTGTGTTTGAATCAATTTATATATACGTACATGTATAAATCTATTTTATTTACATAAGGAAATGATACTTTCCTGTTACTTGATAATTAATTTGAACTCACATGTTCACA